TTTGTGCAGCGATGCAGTGATGCATGTGACTTTGTGCGGCGATGCAGGGATGCATCTGACTTTGTGCAGTGATACAGTGATGTGTGTGACTTTGTGCATCACTGCATGTGACTTTGTGCAGTGATGCAGTGATGCACAAAGTCACACGCATCACTGTATCACTGCACAAAGTCAGATGCATCCCTGCATCGTTGCACAAAGTCACATACCTCCTACCTACTGTGCCCATTGGAATTATGCACAAAGTCATAGGCATCACTGCATCTGCGGCACAATAGCCGATGCTACAGGCCGTTGATTCGTTCATGACTGCACAAAGTCGAGTCCTGACAGCCGTATGCACTGGATAAGGTCAGTGGCATGCATGTGATCGAACAGGAAATTGCATACATACAGCTACCATGTGTATATATGGTATAAATATCGCATCATACCATAACAAAATTTTTACAACTATTTCGAGCGATATCATCATGAGATATACGGTGGTTGATCTATATTCAGCAATGGGTCGCTATTGGGTTGCAGATGGAGATGAATTTCAATACCCATTAAATCCAAATTTGCGTTACTCACGTGCCACCGTCAATACCATGAGAGCTGAGTGGGAATTTCGCAAAACTCGAGCAAACGTTCTCGTTGAGCTATGCCGTGAAGTTAATCTTAAATTTCCTCGCCGGTTAGCCATGCGTATGCCAACTGACACTCCACAGTTGTTGCAAAGGGCATTGCATCGTATCCGCGACGAGGTTAATCGCATGACCCAACGTTTGCAAAGGTCCGGACTAATGAAGACCGCAAATGAGCGTGCCGAAGATGGGTTAATGGATGATGCACACCAGTACTACGCCTGGAGCATGGATGTTATGTATGAATCTGATATTGAGATGTCAGATGATGATGATAATGAATGAAATTGTTTGGATGAACGCCCAGGGCATTTCTGTAATGCATGCAATTTGTAATGCTTATCCATGACTTATCAATGAAGCGAGATATTTCAATTATTTTTAGCCTTGAACAAACATATTTTTTATAGCTTCTTTACACGTTTTGTTCAAACCAAACGCGTTTGTAATTTATGTTCTCCTAAATTACGGATAATGAGAGAGGGGTAGAGATGTGAAAGAGATTTGTGTGATTCATCAATATAAATAAGAATAAAAAATTGTGAAATTATAATTGCGAATAAATAAGTATGACACTTACATCAGCTGTACAAGTTTGACACATACAAACAAAAAAAAGAAAAAAAAAAACCTATTTAGTCCATATCGCAACCGCTAATGCCCTAACCTACCCCCAGTCCCACAACCCCGACCGTGGATCTCCCTCCTCGGTCTCCTACGGTAGACTCTCTGAATATCTGGCACTCTCTCCCCTACATGCGGCCCTCCACTGACTGCCTGTGGAGCCTGTGAGTGTGAGTGTGACCCCCCCTCTCCTGCATCTGATGGCCCTGATCCTGTCTGTGCCTGTAGATCAGATACTGCTGTGAGCTGTGAAACTCCCACTCCCTCGTCTGGTGTAACTGTATCACGATCTGCAGCTGGACCCCGACCTCTGCCTCTGCCCGCACCCCGACCTCGGCCGCGACGTCCCCCACGACTATAACCTCTCCCTCGCGCTCTGGGGAGGGGCTCAATATGGGCCTCATCATCAATGTGGGAGATGTCCGTGAGAACTGCATCATGTGTACTCCTGGGCGCGGTCGAAGTAGTCCCCATAAAAGCAGGTGGTAACTGGGTGGGTGGGGCAGCAACATCATGCATGAACCGGGGCGCGGTCGAAGTACTCCCCAGAAAAGTAGGCTGTAACTGGGTGGGTGGGGTAATAACATCATGCATGAAGCGGGGCGGTGACCAATCAGGGTCAGGGTCAGCATGCTGGGTAAGATGTACGTGTGGGGAATATAGAGAAATGTATGGGGTATCATGTGGTGGGGTGACTAAAGTCGAAGGACCTGCTGTGGCTGGCGCTGAACTGGGAGGCACTGACGTGGACGGGACTGATGTGTCTGGAGCAGCTGCTGCACTATGTACACCGTAGTCCCCAAAATGCAGTCGATCTACCCGATGGGCATGCTGGATCCCCTCGTACAATAACTCTCTGATCTCTACAAGGGCCTGCAGACCAAGCTGTCCATCACGTCTGAAAATAGCATCCTCAGCCAAGTGATATGACCTCCCAGCTCGAACCACCTGTAAAAAAAATAGATATATTAGGCTATAGTTGACTGAAAATAATCAATTATGATATTAACAATTATCGGAGATATAGTACGCTACTCACCAATGACTCGAGAGAAGGCCCAACTCCCTGATATCCGGCCTCGGACAGGTGGCTCGGATTACCGACAAGTAGGTGTGTATGTCGCCGATACCACAACATGTAAGGGTCGGGAGAGGGGAGGACCCCATCGCTCCAGTCAGCCTGTACAATAGTGTCGCGACGGGCATCCCACAACTGTATGTATCGCATATGATGCTGACTCCAGTCAGTGCTGGCTCGGCCACGTCTATCCGTCGCATGCAACCGCCACTCGGTGTCACACCGATCCGGCACGGCCTGGACCCGACCAAACTGTCGGAGGACACGATCAGGGAGATGCCACTCAACCACGTCAAAACAAATGAGTGGCCCTCTCGCCATCCATATCTCCTCACCTAGTCGGCAATAGTCTGGGAGCGTATCGAGGACCTCAGCATAAGGCTGCCAGATAAACTACAATAACGACAAGTCTATTAAAAATAGCTCATAAACATATACAGTCCATATGACAATTAAAATTTAGGTATTTAAATTTCATCCCTCGCCCTCTATCATCTGGTCAAGCTGGTCTCTATATACGACGACTACATGGGTCGACACGACCTCGTGGCCCATGTCAACCCTCCACCGGCTACCTCGAGGTCCGGCCGGCATCTGCATGTCTCCCTGCCCGATGGGAACCTCACCAGGAGCAACTAGTTGCCGCCTAGACGGGGCAATGCAAATCAATCTCTCCCACGCCCAAATCTGCAATAGTTCGAACGCAATTACAATACTAATATATGCCATACAATATGAATTGACATGTAATAAAATTCTTACTAACCTGTAGCAAGACAAGGGGTCCTCCAATCTGAGTCACACCCACCTGAGTGGCTCGACATAACATCCTATACAAGCATGCCAAAGCCGCGGCGCCCCAGCTGTACTAGCCGATGACGTCAATGTCTCTCAACAGTGGCAAATACATCAACTTGAGCAGGTTCTGTGACTTATCAAGGAGAAGTACTCCCCCTAATAAGCCACAGAATATATGCTCGCGCATGCTGCTGTACTAACTCATCTGCAGCATCATCTGGAAAATCGCCCTGAAAATGCTCCGACAGCCACCTCACCCTCACTCTACCTGCCTGTAAGTCTGCAGGTGTAGGTGCTACTCCCAATAGCTCAGCACATAGCGCTATCCACTGCTCCGTCGTCAATGATGGGTCAAGTCCAGCAACTGCTCGCCCATCAATCCGTAGACCGTATAGGACAGATACGTCCTGCAATGTGACGGTGGCCTCACCGGTCGGGAAATGAAATGTATGAGTCTCTGTGCGCCACCTCTCGACGAGAGCAGTAATGAGTGGGTGGTCCAGTCTGATATGGCCTATACGATATACACCATAGAATCCCGCGCGTAGTAGACACTGCAAGACTCTATGGTCCAATGGACGATCCCACAGGCCGGAATCTCCCCGTCGGCATGCCACCACGGTGCGTGACTGGTCCTGCATAACAGAATGAGTATTTAAAATTATAGCATTATCAAGGAAATCAAAAACAAAATGCAGTGTATTTTCATTGTACGCGTAAAGTCCAACAAACGTTATTGCATACCGGGTCCTCCCATATACTGTCAGCCCGATGTGGATGACTCAAAAGGGGGACCTCATCAGGTAGATGTGCCATGAAGCCTGTACAGTTGAAAAACAAATACATTTTGAAAAACTGTATTGGTGAGCATGTAATTTAACTATATCAATTAAGCTCAAATTATTATGTACATGACGACTTGAAAAATAAATGTGGTCGATTATTTTAAAAGTATAAATTTGTGTGCCATTAACATGGAAGCAATTAACTAAAATCAAAATTTTGCATATTATGTGCCATTAAATATGATAAGCAATTCAACATAACCTATCGTTATCTATGCTTCGGACTAATATAAAAATCTTTTACAAAGTCATTTTACGATATCAGTTACATAAGCTTAATAATGACCAATAACATGTGGATAGTTTTTGTATGTCAATATTTACAAACAAAATGGAATGATCAATTTTTTTTTTCAAAACTTCATTATTGATTTTGGCATATTTGACATAACGTCATTATTGATTTTGACATATTTGACAAAACTTCGTTACATTTATGGCATATTCGACAACTTCATTATTGATTTTGTAATTTTTGTTTTGCAATAAAATAAAAAATTTGTAAATTACGTACATGTAAATTACGTACATGTAAATTACGTACATGTAAATTACGTACATGTAAATTACGTACATGTAAATTACGTACATGTAAATTACGTACATGTAAATTACGTACATGTAAATTACGTACATGTAAATTACGTACATGTAAATTACGTACATGTAAATTACGTACATGTAAATTACGTACATGTAATTCATAAATTCTAAATGTACAAAATGCTTGAATCAGTCGAAATATTAAAATCTTAAAATGAAAGAAGAACTATGTGATTTTAAATAAAATTCTGTAATAAACATTTTCAATGAAGTAGAGAATAAAAACTATGATAGTTGTAAATTTTGTCAAGCAAATAAAACAATTACAATATATAAAGAATTAAACAACAGAAATGATATATTACAAATAAAAAATGTTCTATTAAATGTATGACCCCGTTTACAAATAATGAATTACAAAAGAAAAGAAAATGATCTATTACAAATAAAAAATGTTCTATTAAATGTATGACCCCGTTTACAAATAATGAATTACAAAAGAAAAGAAAATGATCTATTACAAATAAAAAATGTTCTATTAAATGTATGACCCCGTTTACAAATAATGAATTACAAAAGAAAAGAAAATGATCTATTACAAATAAAAAATGTTCTATTAAATGTATGACCCCGTTTACAAATAATGAATTACAAAAGAAAAGAAAATGATCTATTACAAATAAAAAATGTTCTATTAAATGTATGACCCCGTTTACAAATAATGAATTACAAAAGAAAAGAAAATGATCTATTACAAATAAAAAATGTTCTATTAAATGTATGACCCCGTTTACAAATAATGAATTACAAAAGAAAAGAAAATGATCTATTACAAATAAAAAATGTTCTATTAAATGTATGACCCCGTTTACAAATAATGAATTACAAAAGAAAAGAAAATGATCTATTACAAATAAAAAATGTTCTATTAAATGTATGACCCCGTTTACAAATAATGAATTACAAAAGAAAAGAAAATGATCTATTACAAATAAAAAATGTTCTATTAAATGTATGACCCCGTTTACAAATAATGAATTACAAAAGAAAAGAAAATGATCTATTACAAATAAAAAATGTTCTATTAAATGTATGACCCCGTTTACAAATAATGAATTACAAAAGAAAAGAAAATGATCTATTACAAATAAAGAATTACAAAAAGATCTATTACAATATGTAAGTATTACATAGTCTTCATCGACCAAGTCGCGCCGGACATGTTCGCCTGTCATGACCTGTCTGCTGGCACTCACTGCAACGAGCGGTCAAACGCCTATCTGATATGTCCATCTCATTCGGAATACGAGACATAGATGCACGACCCCGTTTCACTTGTCGCAGACGCAGTACATTAGGCATTAAAGTCCACTGCGGATCAGCCCAATAATCTTGATGCGGTATTGGATTGAATTTAGTTTCCCAAACCCTAATGTATACAGGAAGCCTATATACTAGATCAACGTACTCGAATGGATTGTCACCGCATTCAGACATTACAGCGAGCATATGAGAACATGGATAGTGTCGTATCTCATATTTCCCACAACTGCACGTGGGTTGATTCATCCGCACAATTTGTGTATTGCGACCTCGTCCATGGCGAAAAGATGTTTGCACCTCAAACACGCGGCGTGGCCTATAAAAAAATTGTAATAGAAACTAATGAAGTTCATGTTTTTAGGTGTAGTTAAATTGACAACATAATAACAATAATTTAATTTATATTACAAACTAACCTGTCATATGATATCAACTTGAAAGTATTTGCCCTTGCGATGCCATCCTCAATAGTTTTTTGCATCTGTCTAGGGTATTGGAACTCATTTCGTACATCTAGTTCAGCTTGGGCTCCCATCTCGTCAAAATATTTTACAAGCCGCCGAAATGTAAATTCAACCATAGCTGAGATAGGTAAGTTCCTTGCACCTTTCAAGACGCTATTGAAGCACTCTGCATCATTGCTAGTCAATACCCCCCAGCGATGCCCACCGTCATACGAAAGGGCCCACTCCTCAGGATTCATCTTGTAAACCCAAGTGATGGCTTCTTGGTCAATAGCCTGTATTTGTTGTAAGTAACCATTACACTTTCGTCGTTGATGAGCACTTCCTGCTTTCCATAGAAGTTGTTTCAGCTCCTTATTTCTGAACGTAGTGTTAAAGTTACTACAAACATGTCGAAGGCAGTGCCGATGATATCCAACAAATTGGAGCGAGGGATTCAACCAATGCCGCCTCACAGCAGCTAAAATACTCTCAGCTCGATCGAATATCAAAGTCACTCCCTGTCGGTCCATGACAATATGTTCCTTGATATTTGAAATGAAGAACAACCAAGACTCCAAACTCTCCTTGTCGACAACAGCAAATGCAAGCGGTAGTACTTTGCCATTGGCGGTGACAATCGTTGCTACAAGCAACACACCAGTGTATTTCCCGTATAAGAATGTACCATCTATGGTTATAACAGGCCTACAATGTCTGAATCCATCGATGACGGGTTTGAAAGACCAAAAAACAAAGTGGAAGACAGGCATAATGGTTGTATTTCCGGTATATCTATGCTTCCATTGCACGATGGTGCCAGGATTAGATGTTTGTAATGCATACATGAATTTAGGCAACATCATATATGATTCATCCCAATCTCCGAATACCATTCGAATTGCCTTTGCCCTTGCATGCCACGCCTTCTTGTAATGTATAGTATAGTTCATGGACTTTTTTATGTCTTCGATGACATTCTTAATGGGCATATCAGGTTCGTTCTGCATACAACAATACCTATGAGTCAGATTATTTTGGTGTGAACACTTTAAAGACACAATTTTGGTGTGAACACTTTAAAGACACAATTTTGGTGTGAACACTTTAAAGACACAATTTTGGTGTGAACACTTTAAAGACACAATTTTGGTGTGAACACTTTAAAGACACAATTTTGGTGTGAACACTTTAAAGACACAATTTTGGTGTGAACACTTTAAAGACACAATTTTGGTGTGAACACTTTAAACAAACAAATATGTATATAAATGTAAACATTTATTTTGTATACTCACCGCAACTTGTCCCAAAAGATGAGAAGCAATGTAACTGGAGCTAATATTTGTGTGGTCCCTGTTCGTTCGTGGGTATAAACAATGGTGAGGACCCCTATACTGCTTTATTTCAAAAAGCCCATGTCTCTTACTAAGAGATGCACGCAACCACCATCTACAGTCGTGCTTGCAAGCACACACCCAAACGTCTCGCTTGGAGGTTACGACTTTATACTCTCGATTATTTGTTGCATGGTACAATTTCACAGCATGTACGAGTTGCTTCTTATCAACGAAAACCATCCCTTTGTCCAACTCTGGATTTTCAGCATTCCAGATTCGGTTACGGGGAACGACATCGCGGTTACTAATGTCAAAATCACCACCCATGTGAATGTTTTCAAAGAAAGGGATTTCAGGTCTAGGTGGAATGGGGGCATTCTGAATATCAACGGGAGCGTCGACATCATCTTCTTCATCATCATCATCATCTGATCCGCCCAATAAATTTTCTTCATCACACATTTCATTCTCATCATTGTCTAGGGCGACATCAGGACCGTACATGTCACTGTCAGCAAACTGCACAAAATTAACCGTTTCAGCCATATTACCAGCAACTTCAACTGGAGTCGTATGATGGCTATAGGTGGGCACATCTTGGGTGTTATTGTGAAATTCAGTCTCGTATCCACCATGTGAACTTGATTCTCCACCATGGCCAT